GGATTGCCCAACCTTCCTTCCGAGGAGTGGCTGGTGGGTTTGAACCGCCAGCCTTCTGGTTAGCAGTCAAGTGCTTTAGCCACTATGCTACCCACATCTTTTTTTTTTTTTCTAAATTAATAGCCAACTGCCACAACAATATTTGTAGAATATCACTTTTTTCCCCATTTTTTTATTAAAAAGTCTTTATAATTTGCACTTTTATTTTGCTGTGATGTTTTTGACTTTCCATTCAGTTCCATTTATCTATGTATATCTTCTCTGCTGCCAAATTGCTTTAATTATTATTTTGTAATATGATTTAGTATTGGCAGGACAAGGCATGCTCCCTCATTATTCTTTGTAATCAGAATTTTTCTGGCTATTCTTGAATGTTTATTTTTCCAGTAAAACTCAGAATCTTTCCTAATTTCTTAGAGATTCCTATTCATATTTTAATTATAATTACTTTGAATTTATGGATTAATTTTGAAAGCATTGACATCTTTCTGACACTGAGTCTTCCAGTTCAAGACTCTGTTTATATTTACTTCAATCTTGAAAACTCAATGAATAATATTGTTTTCTTCATATTGGTCCTGAATATTACCTAAATTTATACCTAGAGCTTTTTATCTCTTTTGTTCTAATTATAAATGGAACTTAATCTTAAATATATTTTATATTAGTTGTTTATATACAAAAAGCTATATAAGTTTGTATATTAATCTTTTAAAGCACCATCTCCCTGATTTTTCCTCATTAATTTTCTTCCTAGCAGAGATCAATTTTTTCTTTCTCTCTCTCTCTCTCTCATGGATAGACACACACACACACACACACACACAGCAGATTGTTTTTAATCTTTGGTGGGAAATGAGGGTATTTAAGGAGGAGCTATTACTATTTAGAAGAACAAGATATAAAAATACTATTCCTGTTTAGACCTGGAGCACAATTATTCTTTGATTAATTAGGTTGATGGCAAAGCTCTGGTGGCATAGTGCTTAAGGCATTTGATTGCTAATCAGAGGCTGGCGGTTCAAACCCACCAGTCACTCCTCGGAAGGAAGATTGGGTAACCTACATCTGTAGTGATACCACCTCAGAAACCTCAGGAGGGGTTTCTATGAGTTGGGATCCACTCGACTGCAGTGAATTTAGTTTTTTTGGTATAACATAGAAACTCCAAAATCCAGGGGCTTAAATGACAAAAAAATTTATTTTTCTATCATGTAAATAGGTTGTTCACAAACTTGTTCAGAGACACATATTTTTCCCTCTTGTTGTGCTAGTCTCCCTTAGAGTGTTGTTTGGGACTATGTTGGTATTCCAGTCTGGTGGAAAGAAGGAAAGAGAAGTCACAACAATAAAAAAACCAAAAAAACCCAAACACACTGCCCTTGAGTCAGATCCGACTCATAGTGACCCCTCCTTGGGTTTCCAAAGTGGTATCACTATGGAAGTAGATTGCCCAACCTTCTTTCCAAGGAGTTGCTGGTGGGTTTGAACCATCAGCCTTCTGGTTAGCAGTCAAATGCCTTAGGTACTACGCCACCAGAGCTCTTCACAACAATAAATTCCCTTTTAAATAATCATGTGGAAATTGCACACATTACTTCTAAACAAGTTTTGTTAGCAAGAACTTAGTCACATGACCATGCCTATCTGCAAAGGCAACTGGGGAATATAGTCTCTAATTGGGGAGCAATAAGCCCAACTAAAACTTTTTCTATGCTAAAAGATAATAGATTTTTTGGGGGGATAATTATCAATCTACTATACTTTTTATACCAGATAGTTTTATAAATAAATTAAGAGAACCAAACATAATACCCAAACCAAAGAACAAACTCATTGCTGTTAAGTCGATTCCAACTTATAGCAACCTTATGTGTTACAGAGTAGAACTTCTCCAAAGGGTTTTCTTGGCTATAATCTTTACAGAAGCAGATCTCCACAGGGTATGTTTGAACTGCCAGCCTTTTGATTAGTAGTCAAGCACAGACTATTTGTGCTACTTGGGACCTTGAGCATAATACAGATAAATCTAACATATAATTTTTGTTTCTTATTTGCCATCAATTGTCATGGGAAAAAACTGATTCATCCCTAGACTTCTGTGTGGTTCTCTCTCTGAAAAATGATCTTATAATGATTGCCACTAACCAAAACATAAAGGAGAATTCTTATCTGTGTAATAGTTCAGTGTTAAAAATTACTATTTTTTTTAAGCAAAGAAGACTGATAGTTTTTTGGTTTAGACATTTAAGTTTATCTCCAGATTTTCCTGCAATCAGCCAGAGTGGATTATGAATGTTTAGAATGATAAAGAACAGTTTATGAGGATTAGGGAACCCTACAGGAAGGCATAGTAACAATGTCTAGGTATTTAAATGCCTCCCACTGGCAAGTATCCATGCAGACAGTTGACAGAAATGACACACTGTGTGATTTTTCAGTTTGTATCTTCTTTCTTGTGTGTTTTCTCTGCTGTCACCTGTCAGTGAATTTTCATGGAACCACTTCCCTATTGGCCAGATAACACTGGGTGTTAATTTGAAGCATCAATAAGTCACAAGAGCTTCCAGATGAAGATGAGAAGTTGAACAAACATGTTTACTTTTGCTCTTTATTCAATCCCCATTACAACAACAATCAAGAAAATAATAATAGAAAACAACTTACTTTGATATAGAGAATGAAAGAGGAAATAATAGTTCCAAATTCTTGAAAGCTGAAAAGGAGATCTAAGGAAACTGAATCTGAAAATGAGAAGTAATATGATTCATGTGAGAGAATTCTCACCACACCCTACACATACATACATACACACACACATACATATACACACTTGAATATACCCCAAAGACTTAAGAAATGGTATTATCAAGTATTTCTGGAAGAGGAGGTGAAGGTGAGGCTAACAATGGAAGCATAGTAGAATGTCTGTTTACAAATGATTAGGTAACACTCTCCCTTCCTCAACTCTGTTTAGCCAGGTGAATTTACCTCCTCCTTTCTTGACAGAAACATGAAAGGAAGTTTATTGTCTGGGGAAAATAAAAGTTGGGTCTCTAGACTGGAGTGAAAAGTTTCCATCAAGAAGGAAATAAGTAAAAGAGGGATGAACATAAGAAAAAGAAACAAAATCCTACACTAAAAAGACAAAGATATTAACAACTCTATGCTGGGAAAAAAAATAGTTCCAGGGTGTATTTATTAAAGCATATAAGGATATGAAATTTTGGATGTATCTGAGTATGTTTAGAAATGACATTGACAATCAGAATTTGGAGGAGAATATAGCAAAGCATTTATAGGAAGTTAGCAATTGAACAAAACAGGGCAATTTTTAACTATAGGAAAAACAAAATTCTAGATGGGAAAAACAAATATTCTGAGTGTATTCATGAAATAGCTGTAAATCTTAGCACCATAAACACTGACCATTGATTTAACTGAGAGCTCTGGTAGCGTAGTGCCTAAAGGCACTTGACTGCTAACCAGAAGGCTGGCGGTTCAAACCCACCAGCCACTCCTAGGAAGGAAGGTTGAGCAATCTACTTCCATAGTGATACTGCCTTGGAAACCCAAGGAGGGGTCGCTATGAGTCAGGTCTGACTCGATGGCACATAACAATAACAACAACACCATTGATTTAACCAAAGCTGTGATAGAAAGGGGAGGAGCTTCGTGCTTGTTAGAGTGGCCTTGGGTAGGGTGTGGGGGTGGAGGTGGGGGGAGGGGTGGGAGTGTTGTTGGGTGGTGAGAGAAGTTAGGTATCTTTAATAGTGGGAAATCAGTAGAAAATGCTGACAATTGAAAATGTGATAGTAATGAAACCATTATTTAGTAATATGAACTCATAGAGGTATGGAAGATTGTAGGGAGAGAATTGCATTTGGAGAGTCCTATAAGCATCATATATCACTCTTTAAAACATGTAGATGATTAATTGTCATAAATGATAAGATTAACAAATTTACATCAATTATTGATTACCAGTCATATTCTCTTCTCTCCCCACCATAGACGCTAAAGTGCAATTAATTGTTTACGTGTAACATCTTAATTTTCCTTAATAAAATGAATCTGATCTGAATTTTTCCATACCGTCATCGTTGTTCCTCTCTAAACTTTATCTTCATAAATAAGATTGTGAAGCTAAGGCAGCAGTACCCAATATTTCTCTTTGAACAAGGTACTAACCCTATATTCACTAAGTACCAAGCTGTTAAGACTTTTCTTTGTCTCTCCTCTTCTGACAATAACTCTGGGCCTTTCATCTTCAAATACACATCTGAACAGATACCTACTATGAACAGTTCATAAGATCAGCAATTAAAAAAAATTCTGTAGAGGCCTAGAGCATATTGAGACTTTTAGTACTGGAAAAATCTGTCCTTATTGATGGGACCTCAGAGCATGACTGCCTCCAGTGTTGTCAGTTAAATCATTTCAATGAACTCCTGTGTCTCTTCTCTATGAAAGTCTTACTACTTACCACAAAAGGTGGCTGCTCACTAAGGGTGGGATCAAGATTCTTGGTAAGATTTCCCTAGCTCAAAAATACTTTCCTTCACTGATATGATGAATGAAACCTGATAAATGAGGATTAAACTTTCATAGAGATAAGGTTTTAATGTGTAAATTGATTCTACTGTTTGAAGATCCATTTCCAATAGAGGTTGAAACATATATGGTGATATTGTTCAGATTGAAATGTTTTTTTTTTATTTTTTAAATTCACCTATATTTTTCAGGGTGACCGTGGACTTCCTGGTTTTTCTGGACTCCATGGAGTGCCAGGATCAAAGGTTGAAGAAATCTGTTTCTTTTAAATTCCGTAATAGCATATTGTATTTCAAATTGAAATGACTTTCAGTTTACAGATATGTTATACATTTATGACTATATGTAAATTAAAGTATATGCAATTAAATAATTGGGTTAAATTAATTTCATCATTTACATAAAAGTTTTAAAAATTTCCAGTCATAATTATGTAATCTGATAGTATTTATTAATTAATGAGTAAGTTATAACATATACAGATCCTGAGAGTTGTAAGCCCAAATTGTGGACACTGTTATAATTTTAACTAATCTTACTTTGCTTTATAAAAGCCTGGACAATAGAAATATTATAAACAAATATTTAATTATTTTATTTCTATTTTGCCACATTAAACTATGTTGTTTATAATCTATATTTTTGTTTCTCTAATCTATAAGACAAATAGACATATTTTTCTAAAATTCAATACTTCCATTTTGTCTTTTAGGGTGAAATGGGCCCCAAAGGAGATAAAGGATCACCTGGATTGTATGGCAAAAAGGGATGTATGGACCAAAAAATAAGGATCCATGTTTGAATTTCCTTTTAATATAATGAAAATACAAAACTGAATTTCAGTGCCAAGCCCAACATTCTAGCAATCATCTTTGTTCAGCTTCAGCTATTTATTTGTAACAAAAAAAAAAAAAGGAAAATGCCTGGTGACTGTTACATGGTCCACCACTTGTCTGTCAGTCTGCAGTACTGGATGGCTTGCGTATTGCTATGATGCTGGAACTATGCATCTGGTTATTTCAAGTACTAGCAGGGTCAGCCATGGTGGACAGGTTATGCGAGGTATTCTATAAGAATATGTTGTATTCTTGATCATTACAAACTTTAAATTTTTGTACAGTGAGAGATCCCTAGCAAATTGGTAGTTGTTTAAAAATGTGTAAGCTGATAATCTATATTATGGGTCTTTTTATTTCCGCATACAAAAGGAAGATGATAATCTCTGTATGTTTAAAATAATTATTTCTTTTTAATTTTGCCCAGATGTGGTTTCTGTGTTTAGATGCTTGTAATAATTCTGCATCTATCAACATTTTAAAAGTGTAACATTGTGTCCACTGGGCCCATAAAATAATGCTTTGCCAAAAGTTGCAGAGCCAATACAAGCTGTAGTTCCATGAATTATGTCACTACATAATGAGGTTAGTTTATTAGTTTTCTTATTTAAGTGTGGTTTGTATCTCTCAAACATTATTGCAAGGATTGTTTTATTATACATTTTTAATACAGGGTGCAAAAGGTGAAAAAGGTAATGCTGGTTTTCCTGGCCTTCCTGGACATGCTGTGAGTTTGATAGTAAAAATGTTCTAGAATCTTTTGCTAATCTATTATTTTTTTTAAGAGCTATTGGTACCAAAGTGTACTAAAAACATATGCATTCATTTTTCAGGGTGAACCAGGAAGACATGGAAAGGATGGATTAATGGGTAGTCCTGGTCTCAAGGTATATATCAAAAAAATTAAAGAAGATTTCTGTATGTACCTTGTTAGTGAACATTAGAGAAAAAAATATACTGATAATTAGATTTTTTTTTTTTTTTTTTTTTTTACAAATGACTGTGGGATAAAATTAACTAGATGAAGGTTTATAATTTCTTTGGAGTCTGTTGTGAACTCTTTTGTATCAGGAATAAGATTACAGGAAATTAGATGGTTTGAGTTTATCTGACAAGATATTCAGAATGGTTTGTTTGGTAGGTTAAAGACAGAGATTCTTAGTTCTGCCTCTCAAGGGTATAAATGTTCAGGGGAACCCCCCCCCCAAAAAAAAAAAAAACTGTACTCTTAAACTTGATGACTTAAATTGGCTTTAGTTTTAAATCAGCTGTGTGGCATGAGTATGACAAAATTAGTGCAAGAGAGAATTGTAAGTTCCAATCATTTATTGTCCTGGGAAAAACCCAAAGGCATATGTCCTTTTGATGGTGGGTTAAACAACAACAACAACAAAAATAAAACATTGTGGTTGAGTAGATTCCAACCTATAGCTACCCTACAGGACAGAGTAGAACTGCCTCCTATGGAAGCAGACTGCCACAGCTTTCTCCCATAGAGCAGCAGGTGGGTTAGAGCTGCCAACCTTTTGGGCAGCAGCTGAATGCTTAACCACTGAGCCAACAGGACTCCTTTGTTAGCACTATCATATTCTTACATAAAGAAATTTTCTATTTACCAATAATAAAATAGAAATAGGCTTTCCATGATATGACTTATTAAATAAAAGGCCATAGGGCATCACACTTATGTACTGTGCTCCTTTAAAAATTACATTATTGAGACCAAAGAGTCAACAGTTACTTTAAAACAAAATGAGAATGCAGGGCATCTAGATCAATAGACATTAATCAACCTGAACAGAAATAATAAGAATGTTCATGCATTGTGAAGAATGCAACAAATATCACTGAATAATTTGTGTAAAAATTTGTGTTGAATGGGAACACAGACTGCTGTGTAGATCTTCATTGAAAACACAATGTTGTTGTTGTTGTTGTTATGTGCCGTCGAGTCGGCCCCGACTCATAGCAACCCCTCCTTGGGTTTCCGAGGCAGTATCACTACGGAAGTAGGATTGCCCAACCTTCCTTCCGAGGAGTGGCTGGTGGGTTTGAACCGCCAGCCGTCTGGTTAGCAGGCAAGTGTCTTAGCCACTATGCTACCAGAGCTCCCTGAAAACACAATAGAATATGTATATATATATAATATATATTTATACACACATGTGTATACGTGTGTGTGTGTGTATATATACATATATATATACACTTTTTTTTTTTTAAAAGGACATAAAGTATGTATGTGTGTTCTAGTCAGTGTACCTGGTGGTCTTACTACAAGCTATTTTGGATTCCTAAGGATAGGATACCTAAGCAGTGGATTTTGTGTAATTTATCAGCAGTTGGTCAGACATTGGATTTAGGAGTGTCATAATGTTGTCTAATGATGAGCACTTAGAAGCCCAAACTTTCTCAGCGATTCAGTATATATTTTCTTGGTCTGTATTTATTTTCTTTTGGAAAACTAGGTCATTTATTTGCTATAAGTGTTAAAAAAGTTCTCCAAACATCCATGATTCCTCAAAGATTATGGACTATGCTTTCTAGATAACCATAGTTGAATGTAAAATATCAAGGCTCATTTTAAGGAGCTTGATCCTCTCTAATTAATTTCACTGAATTTATATTTTATGTCACTTGCCTGCTAACCAGACGGCTGGCGGTTCAAACCCACCAGACACTCCTCGGAAGGAAGGTTGTGCAATCCTACTTCCGTAGTGATACTGCCTCGAAAACACAAGGAGGGGTTGCTATGAGTCGGGGCCGACTCGACGGCACATAACAACAACAACATCAATGCAATGGGAGCTCTGGTAGCGTAGTGCCTAAGCCACTTGACTGCTAACCAGAAGGCTGGCAGTTCAAACCCACCATCCACTCCTCAGAAGGAAGATGGGGCAATCTACTTCCGTAGTGATACTACCTTGGAAACCCAAGGAGGGGTCGCTATGAGTCGGGTCCGACTCGAGGGCACATAACAACAACAACATCAGTGCAATAAAGAGCGCTGGTAGTGCGGTGCATAAGGCATTTGACTGCTAACCAGCAGTTTGGCAGTTCAAACCCACCAGCCACTCTGTGGAAGGGAGATGGGGCAATCTACTTCTGTAAAGATTTACCACCTTGGAAACCCAAAAGGGGTCACTAGGAGTTGGAATTGACTTCAGTGGTAGTGGGTTTGGTTTTGGTTTATTAATACAATGTTTAATTAATAGATGTTTATTGATATCTGGTATGTGCTGGGCCTACAGAGATCAAAACCATCGTGGCACTTGTTTTTATGGAGTTTTATAACCTAGTCTTTCTGTGATAGAGAATATAAATTTAAAACTAGGCAGCCATTTAATTTAAGTTAAATTTTCTTAGATTTCTGTTAGCCAAATTCATATGCCCTATGAAATAAAATTATCTTTTGGAGGTAGTAGAATTAAGAGATTAGAAGCAAGTTGGACTTTTTAGTTCTTTGTGATTTTTTTGGGTGTGCCCTTTGGAAAATTTTTTGACCATCATTTATCTCCATTTCAAAAATAGAATAAATGCTACCTACCTAAAATGATATCGTAGGGACTGAGTAAACTAAAGCACCCAACATAGTGCCTGGAAGAGAATAAGTGTCAGTAAAGATTTTATTCTTTTGCATATTTCTTGATTTAAATACAGTTTTGGAACCCTTTTCTGTTTCAAACTGTGGGTAGGATGTGAGTATGCGTATACCCACAAGTGTAAACTTCAGTTTACTCTTCCAGTATATTAAAAATGTTTTATTGTGGTAGAAGTACACATAAAACAAAAATTCAACATTTGTCACTTGTACGATTAAATGACACCAATTACATCAATCACGTTGTGCAACCATTTCCATCTGTTGCCAAATTTTCCATCACCATAAACAGATACTCTGCTTTCTAAATAATAACTCCCTCCTGTTCTTTGATTTTTTTTTAACAGCTTTGTTGAGATATAGTTCATATACCATATAATTCCATTTAAACTGTACAATTCGATGGTTTCTAGTATTTTTACGGAATTATGCAACCACCACCACAGACTTATTTTAGAACATTTAAAACATCATCTCAAAAAGAAACCTTGTATTTATTAGCAGTCATTCCCCATTGCCTCCTTAACTGCTCCACACCCAACCTCTAGCCGTAGGCAAATCTTTCTGTCTCTATGAATTTGACTATTCTGGAAATTTAATATAATGGAATCATAAAATATGTGGTCTTTTTGCTGATTTCTTTCACTTATCATGTTTTGTAGTTCATACATGTTGTGGCATGTATTACTGTCATTCTTTTGTGTTGCTGATAGTACATTGTTGTATGGATGTATCATACTTTATGAATGAGTTGATGAACATTTAGGTTATTTATAATTTTTTGCTATTATACATAGTACTGCTATGAACATGTGTGTATAAGTTTTTTGTATGGGCGTATGTTTTCCTTTCTCTTGGGTATATTCCTAGGAGATGAATTGCTGGGTCTGTTTAATATTCCAAGGTTTGTCCACTCTTGATATTGCTTTCACGACAGGTTCATGTGTCTACTCATAATTAAACTTGGTTATGTCTCCTGTTTTCTAACTGGTGTGGATCTCTGAAAAATAATTAGATTCTTCCTGCATTGTCTGTTTGTAACTTTTTTAATGGAAAAATTTTGGAATCTTTTAAAAAGTCTTTTTATTTTTTTAAAAATTTTGAATAATGAATAACTAATTTTTCTGGCCTTTTTCAATTCAATTTTCTTTTCTCTTAGCAATTTATTTTGAAGATTTTTAATCCTACAGGAAATTGAACCACATAAATGTATGAATATTTATTTCTATAATGTATCTTTGTTGAACTATTAGGAAGTAAATGACAGGTACCATGCATTTCTCTCCTTTAGCTTGTTTCTCCCAATAATTCTTTAAATAAATACATATATGATACTCAAGATATCTATATCAATGATATTATCTAATATTGAATCTATATTCAAGTTTCTTCAATTTTTCAAAAAATATCCTTAACAAGTTTTTCTTTTTCCTTGGCTACAATCAAAATTTATTCACTGTATTTGGTTGGCATGGCTCTCTACTCTTTAAATCTAAAGGAGACCACTACTTTTTTTTTTCTCCCCACTGTGGCGTAGTGCCTAAAGCATTTGACTGCTAACCAGAAGGCTGGCGGTTCAAACCCACCAGCCATTCCTCGGAAGGAAGATTGGGCAATCTACTTCCATAGTGATACCTCCTTGGAAACCCAAGGAGGGGTTGCTATGAGTCAGATCCAACTCAATGGCCCTGAGTTTTGTTTTTGTTTTTTTTTTTTTGAGTATGGCGTTTCATGACATTGACAGGACATTTTCTTATAGAGTGCCCCATAGTCAGAGTTCTTAGTAAATATTATTGTATCAGTATTAAAGTTTTGGATTTTTTCTGCTTTTTTTTATGATTATATTCAGGATAAAGATTTTGGAAAGGATACTGTATATGTACTGTTTTCTGTTTTCTGTTCTATTGCATTCGGAAGAATGTAATTCTGTTCTATTGGTGATGATAAATTTCATTAATTGTTTAAGATAGTAGCAAGAGCTGTGTGTGTGTAAGCATATGCATTGTGCTTTGTATTTTCACAGTATGCTGGGTTTTTTTTAGGTCATCTTTCTATTATGTTTAATTTCAATAAAGATTAATAAATGTACAAATATTTTGTTTTTTCATGTTCAGTATTGTTGATACTATTATAAATTGTTGTTGTTGTTACGTGCCGTCGACTCGGACCTGACTCATTGCGACCCCTCCTTGGGTTTCCGAGGCGGTATCACTAGGGAAGTTGATTGCCCAGCTTTCCTTCCGAGGAGTGCTGGTGGGTTTGGACTGCCAGCCTTCTGGTTAGCAG